TACTTTTTGATAAATAATTCGTTCTTATTGCGAAATAGGAGCACAATTTATCAATCTGTAATAAAAGACGTGAGAAAATTTCGCCTTTTTTAAAGGCAAAAATTTTTGAGGCAAAACACCCAAAAAGAAGTTTGTAAAAAATGAATGCGCCTCAACAATATAGAACTTATCTACTCCAGTACTGTTGAACGTTGCTTCTTCAGTACGGCCGGACTTACCGAAGATGAAGACGAAAAAATTGCCGCTGATGACTTTCATCCATGACCATGCAAGGCTGTAGCTCTCACCGCTGATGGTTACAGAAATGGGAAACAGCCCAACGATCCTGTTGAGGATCAGCAGATATTTAATGCGGTCGTAGAATTTCTTCGACACAATCATGCCAAAATCCCTCTTAACATCCTGATGCATCACCTTGATTTTTGCCCCGATCGCATCTAGAAAACTGCCAAAGTATCTGAAGCAGACCAGCATTACAAAAATTGCCTGCGATAGATGGGGATAATTGCTTCGCAACAGCCCAAATGGTTTATTAATGTTTGAAGGCAAATGGAGTTTTTCGGTAGTGGATTTTTAAAAATTGTCCCTTTTCAGAGCTAATCGTTTCCTAATTATTTTCAACCGGTTTTCGTAATGACCAATTTTCCACTGTTTAGTGAACAAAGACTTTCCGTAGTAAAAGCTGCTGAAGTAATGGGCAAAGTTTAGATTACTGGGCAGACACTAATTATGACAATGCTTGTTTTTGTTCAAATGTTTTTTGCTCAAATAAATCCCATGAATTTGAATAACTTTTGGGGCCAGCGGATAAGTGAGTGTGAGGTTTGAATACATTTTCGCCGGGGAATTAAATGCAGCTAATAAAACTTTATCGCATGTAAGGAAGTCTGGGGTTTAAATCTTCTTTGGTTGCCTGCTTGGTGAACATTTACGCCTGCCAAATAGTGGCAAACAACACTAAAGTATACTGGAAAACAACTGTTATACACCACGTACTTGCGATTTTTAACCAAATGGGCGTCGTATTCAGTCAAATTGTGACAACGATGGTTTAGAGCCTGATTCATTTAATTTTGGAGCCCTATTTAACAATATTTAACTTAAATTGCTACAGAAATTTGATTTGTTTTCCTGACTGCGTGTCATTGTTATTATATTCTCATCTTTCCTGGGTCTCAGTCAATGTGTGAAGACAAATTTTTGAATATCGTTTATTTCATTACGTTTCGGCGAGACCACAGCGCCATCATCAGATTTAAAATTTACACAAACTCATAATTGGTAAACATTACGTTCTTTTAGGTCTTTGCTGCGCTTCAAGGCTGCCTTGAA